ATAAATCTCAAGCAAGGTCTCAATATGGTATTTTTACTTGTTATAAGATGGTTTTCAATTGATTTATATTGTTTGGGTTTATTAGTAGTGAAATCATAGTTATTCATATTATTGAATATATGTTCTGCTATATAAATAGTAATCTAGGTCAGACCCAGTATATGTAGTTATATAATGGAAGAACTAGTTATATAAAGAAATATTAAATAAATCTTATAATCTTTTTTATTGGTATAAAAAATACCACACCTTTTAATTATTTATTTAACTTTTCACATAAACAATAATTTTATTCAACATAAAAGGATATTGAAATATGAATTTTCCCATTCATTAGTTTTCACCTATTGAACTGTTTTGTTTGGGTTTTTATACAAAGTTTACTTTCATCTATCTTTTATATCCATGTAAAGGCCTTATAGACTATTTTGTGTTATTGAATGGCAACTTTGAGTTAGTTGATTGATATCTTTCTCAGGACTGTCATTTTACTTTTAAGTAGACAGAATAGTCCAGTTAGTTTGAATCTTAGCATGGGTCGAGAAGGACCTTCAGAGATATTTCAATCTCGATATTGACATTGAATATGTTTCTTGTAATACAGATAATAATAATGACATTTATAATTACATGTAAATGCATTCCAAATCCGCACCACCATGGTTGATGCTCCTTCGCTTTCCACACATGATTATTATAGGAAGTGAAAATAACTGTATTGGTAGCCTTAAAAAGTTTAAAGGCGTTACAATAAAAGCACCCCATTCATTTCTTTTTTATACGCCCACATATCCATGTATATTGTCGACGCCCCTGTCCGTCCGGACGTCCACAATTTGTTTGTGGACACTCTACAGGACACAATTTTTATCCGATTTTGACGAAACTTGAAATATAGGTCTATCTCCCAAAGATCTTGATTCCTTTCGATATTGGCATGTACATGTATCGGACCATAACTTCATGGGCTATGGCCCCTGATTGTATGAAAATTCGCGTTTTTAGCTTGTGGTCCCTCTAGAGGTCACAATTTTTATCTGATTTAAAAAAACATTTTACTATATATCACTGTTGCACCCTAATGATGGTTGAGTTCGAATTTCAAGAAATTTGAACCAAAACTGCCGGACAAAATGGCCGCCCCTTGTACGCAAATAGTGTAAAATACATGTATGGTATATCAAGGTTGTGGACCCTCTAGAGGTCACAATTTTCATCCGAATTTGATGAAACTTTGAATGCATGTTTATATCCCAAAGATCTTGGTTCCTTTTGATATTCGTGCATATCAGATCGTAACTTCCTGAATTATGGCCCCTGATTGTACGAAAAATCACGCTTTTAACTTGTGGTCCCTCTAGAGGTAACAATTTTTATCCGATTTAAAAAATGTTTTACACCCTAATAATGGTTGAGTTCGAATTTCGTGAAAATCGGACAAAAACTGTCGGACAAAATGGCCACCCCTTGTACGCAAATAATGTGAACATCTGGTATATCAAGGTTGTGGACCTCCTAGAGGTCACAATTTTGATTCAATTTTGATGAAACTTGAAATGCATGTTTATAACCCAAAGATCTTGGTTCCTGTCGATATTCGCGCACATCGGATCGTAACTTCCTGAATTATGGCCCTTGATTTTACGAAAAATTGCGTTTTGAGCTTGTGGTCCCTTTAGAGGTCAAATTTTTTATCCGATTTAAAAAAAAAAAACGTGTGAATATTATATCACAGTTATACACTAATGATGGTTGAGTTCGAATTTCGTGAAAATCGGACAAAAATTGTACGCAAATAGTGTAAAAATATGGTGGTATATCAAGGTTGTGGACCCTCTAGATTCCACAGTTTTTATCCAATTTGGATTAAACTTTAAATATATGTTTTTATTATAAAGATCTTGGTTCCTTTTGATAATCACACATATCAGAGCTTAACTTTGTGGATTATGGCCCCTGATTGGTCGAAAAATTGCATTTTTAGCTTTTGAATTCTCTATAGGTCACAATTTTTTTTCACAATTTTTTTTCACAATTTTAAAAACCATTTAGATATAGCACCATTCCACCATAATGAAGATTGAATTGGAATTTCGGGAAAATCGAAATGTAAAGTAAACATTAGATCTGGGTTTAAGGGTCACTTGAAATTCTTGAAAGGTTTAATTGTCTCCCTTAGATTATACAGAAGATTGAGCTATTTATCTAATTTAACTAGATCTTTATAAATTACAATACAGTCAGGAAGGAAATTGTCGCTGCAGTTCCAGCAAAATTTTGAATTATTTAAATTATTTACATATGTCTAAAAATGCTTCTGATAATGCCTCAATTTTATACGCCCACATTGAAATGTGGTCGTATATTGTTGTTGCCCCCGTCCAGCGGTCTGGCGTCCACAATTGTTTGTGGGCGCTCTAGATTTATACACAGTGTTTAAGATCATGAGACAAAGAATCCTGTTGATTTTCAACGATTTCCGATAATTACTGCCAGAGTTATGGCCCTTGATCACCTTGAAAAATCTTGTGTAAAGTTTAGAGGCTAAAGTTAATATCCGATAATCCGAATGACTTTATATTTATACAGTTTTTAAGATCATGAGACGAAGAAGCCTATCAATTTTCAATGATTTCCAATGATTATGGCAATTGATATTAAATGTTTTGTATGCGAAATGTTAGAATAGGCAGAACTAGAAGCTAAATGTGTTGTAAATGTTTTCATTTCTGACAAAAGAAAAAATATGTGACAACACTTGTTGACTCACCAGATGATTTAGCTGCCATGGGTGTGTGTTTCGTTGCCTGGCAACCTATCTTTTTACAACTTAGACATACATATTTTGTCCTCCACCCTTTTGAAGAATATTAGTTGATTCCATGGAATTAATATTAGTTTGACATAGAATAATCAAATATTAAAAAATCTGTTTAAATTCAGTAGTTATAGGCCTTCACATCTAAAAAGCTGAAAAAAGCTCCCCTGGGATTGGAAAAAATTAAAAATTGCTCTCCTGGAATTACGGACAGGAGATGACACATGCAATCATTTGCAATAAAACACTGTATTGCCATTATTATTATTATGTTTCTTTTATATTTTAAAAACAGCAGAGATTATGTAGGTGGAGTTAACGCCTGTCAATCAAACGATCGGCCATACTCAGAATCAGTGAAGATGGAATTCAATCCCATTTCTAGTCAAAAATTACACTGGTGATAACTATGTTCAGAATAAAGTAATTTGACTGAAATTTTCAATATTTTCTTCTTTCATCATCTATTTTTTAACTGTTATAGCAAGAATGGCTAACTCCTTATAAAAATCTCCCATAATGTATCTTTAACTGGTGTTTATTAATAGCTAATAAGGGAGCACTTTCGGATTGGTATGTTTTTACCCAGTGAATGTTTCTTTGAGTTGGAAAATGATTAAAATAACGTTATGTCGACCACGTACGTGACCGATTCTTTCAGAGGAAAATGATAACAGTATTAACAAATTAAAATATTGTGTGATCAAGATTGACATTGGTATATGGGGCTAATTTATGGGAAGTAAACATGAATAACCCCCGCCGAAGTCAAGCAATGTATGATTGGATGTTTCTGACAATTTTGGGGGAAATAAAATAAGCAGTTGGGAGAGCGATTATGGAGGACTGAGGAGAGCAATAAAACACACACCTAGATAGGGATTTAGGTGAGCGATGGAGCACAAGAGCTACAGTGTGCCTCAAACGTGAAGGCCTGTAATTAGCTCACATCCATTCTTTGTGTATAGCTTACTGCATTTAAATACCAACTATGTTAAATTTGTAGACATTCAAGTAACTCTATCATAAATTATGTTTATGGTAACAATAATGAACATGTTTTCCAATCGATGATTATATATATACATTTAAGATGGTGACTGGTGTGTAAATACATCTTTTAGATTGTCCACTAGACACACCAAGATAAAAGATAGATTTTTTCTTAAATAAACAATATGTTGACTGTCTGCAAACCACTGACCATTGTTTACCGATTGTTCTAAGATCTGATCATTTGTACTGGAAGTTAACAAATCTGGCAGCTGTGTATGATGAGTTATTGTTAAATCAGGTCACTAAATGTTTTAAACAACACAGCTTGTCAGAGTTACAGTAGTTCATTATTATAAGCAGAGATCTAAATTGGAATATCATATTTATATTGTACACGTCTTGTCTTCAGATAACCCATTTTGTTAAGATGGTACAAATGCCAAAGTACATGTATACCAGAAATTGTTAGTTAAATGCAACAGAACCTCATCCCAACAAATTAAGTTAGAGTGTGGGTGGTGTTCGAGAGTGGTAAAAAGCGTGCACTTCTGATCATGAGGTCTCGTATGGAGGCAATTGTTGAAATGTATTCACCCCATGCTTGTTCGTGACAGGGAGTACAGTGAATCTGCTTAACCTTGTGGCCTTTCTTGAGGTTCACTGGTTTCCATTTAATTATAACACTAATACACTAATAGTGAAGAATGGAAATAAAGATTATTCATACATTAGTAAAAAAAAAATGCCTCTGTCTCCCTCTCCTTCCATCCCTTCTCTCTCTATCTGGGTGGGAATGAGCTGTGTATGGTAACTGCGTAGATGAGGTCAAAAGGACTGTGACTGATGATCGCAGACAGTCATGTGGACAACAGGATATATTGACTTATCACCAATTTAAAGATACTTTCCTGTGACAAACTGTGTGATTTGATGATATATTAGGACTAGAAACATAATCAAACTAATTAATCTATCAAATATTTGCTTAAAATCCCTCTCAAGATTTTGTACTCACAGTGAGATACCTCAAGCTATAAATTACTGTCTCCTAACTTCATTGAGGGAGGGTCCATTTTTCAGAATGTATTTTTCGTTACTTATCTTTAAGATGAGTTGTATTATTAATATTACATTTTAAATCTGTTTAGATACAATAATAATGTAGATTATTTTGTTTGTATTTTAGGGTAGAATCAAGTTTAATGATCAAGCCATAACACTTCATGAATATCCATCAGAACTGTACATGTTAGAGGAATATTTACTGAAACATCCTGATGAAGAGAATATAATACTACTGGAAACTTTTACTAACGATTTTTCTGAATCAACAGATGATGACAATCTACTTGATACACCCCGACAATCTTTAAATGATGATGTTTTGAAATCGAATACAGCTCTATCTCATTCTGGTAAAATAAAAAACTTATTTGAATTCCCCATCTAATTAAATAATGATCTTATTTTGTTCCCGATTTCAATTAGTTTGCCTATGCTGCACATAAAGATCTAATTGTCTGCTTACTAATTGTTTGTTCTCTTTGAAATCTTTGTGTAACCACTATGATTGGTTAAAATTATCTTTGCCAAAGGCAAAATATGTGCTTCTTTTCATTGGCTAGAAAGGTCAAGTCAGGTTAATTGAACACAAACGTCTTGTCGATATTGTTAGACCTTACTAGGGCTCACACTGTCGGTCGCCAAAGTCGCAATTTGCGATAAAGGTATGTAACTAAGTGGCAATAATGTTTTGCGGTACTGCCGATTCATTTTGAGTACTGACGGGAAAAAATCTTCAAATTCTAATCGTATTTATCCAGGATACTTTAAATTAATCAACTGGCTGATAATCTGGATTGTGTCAATGAGTAATACTAATCAGTTGTCTTGGATTGCGCTATTGATGATTAGTTGATTGATAATTGCGCATATCGGACCGTAACTTCCTGAATTATGGCCCCTGATTGTACGAAAAATAGCATTTTTTGGCTTGTGGACCCTATAGAGGTCATAATTTTTATCCGATTTAAAAAACGTTTTAGTATATCACCGTTACACCCTGATGGTGGCTAAGTTCGAATTTCGTGAAAAACGGACCAAATCTGCCAGACAAAATGGCCGCCCCTTGTACACAAATAGTGTGTAAAATATGGTATATCAAGGTTTGTGGACCCTCTAGAGGTCACAATTTTTATCCGATTTTGACGAAACTTGGAATGCATATTTATATCCCAAAGATCTTGGTTCCTTTCAATATTCGCACATATCGGATCGTAACTTCCTGAATTATGACCCCTGGTTGTACGGAAAATCACACTTTTAACTTGTGGTCCCTCTAGAAGTAGAGGTCACAATTTTTATCTGATTTAAAAAAAACATTTTAGTATACCACCGGTTGAGTTTGAATTTCGTGAAAATTGGACCTCCTAGAGGTTACAATTTTGATTTGATTTTAATGAAACTTGAAATGCATGTTTATAACCAAAAGATCTTGGTTCCTTTCGATATTTGCGCATATCGGAACGTAACTTCCTGATTTATGGCCCTTGACAGGTGCGAACTTAAGGATCTTTCAGGTATTTATTTATAATTGTAATATGTTTTTAACGTAGGAATGGGGGAATAATTTAACTGAAACCGTCAGTTTATAAATTATAGCTTGGTGGTCGAGAACGGGTGTCCGTTAGCGTGTTTCCAGGTCATGGTAACCGATGCGTATCCTGAACGACCGTTTGTACCCTGGTGTTCAAAAAGACAAAATTCACCAAAAATAAAATCTAATCTTATTAAATCCAAACTTTGCTAATCTATTATGTAAACTCTACATTCTAAAGTTATCGTATATTATCGGTAATTGTTTAGTTTTATAATAATTCTAGCTGAGACATTACATTGTTAGACGTTGTCTTTTTTATCACATATTTTTGGCATTTAAAATATTCCAGTTAGCGGAAAAAAATATGAACCTTTTTTTATATAAAAATTATCCATTTTGGCGGAAAAAAATTGAAAGCCAGTGTGAGCCCTGGACCTTACAGTAGAAATAGGTTTGTCACTATAAACGCAGTTAAGTACTCTTTTGTTCCTTCTTGCCTTCGCGTTACCTAAGCTGGGACGCTTCTTAATTTCACGTTATTCACTAAGCAGATGGCGAAGGCAAGAAGCTGCAAAGACAAGAAGCAGAGCAATGGTTTCACTTCATCTTCCTGTCTATGTCTGATTTTAATGAAACTTAAAACATATCTTTATATCCCAAAGATCTCATACCGAAGGTACTGAAACACGAATATCAGTGGCATACATATACATTGCATGTATTGCATTAGTTTGCATTTATTGAACCAAGTGAGAGCTTATTAAAACACAGAGAATGTTTATGCTTGGCCCTATATATAGGCCATGACCTAGTTGGCCTGTGCCATAATCTGGCCCTGAATATAGGGAGGTTAACAGTGCATTTCAAAATAACCCAACTGCTTTTATGTTAAAATGCCTATAGTTTTATGTGACTGTACTATAGCTATGTCAAATTCAATACTAGCAGTTTTAATATGTTTTAGTATGAGATCATTACTAGTTATGTTGTACATGTTTTTATTGGTTATTTCAGCTGGTCTTTCATCTTATCAATCGAAATATCAAGAAGAGTTTGACTGGAACAGTCAACGAGAACCTGACCCGATTGTAATACGAACGCAACCGGAACCAGAAAACATAGATACAGGTGATATAGTTTTACCTGCCGGAGAAGATGATACAAACACTTGGTCCGAGAGTACAAGTTCTGATCTACTGTTTTAACATGTCAAAGATCATGTTAGAAGTTGTTCTTACTTGGCATTCAACAGAATGACAAAATTGGTGCAGGACCCTTTTCCACATTCATTCCTATTTTGTACGCTCAGAATATTACCCACAATTCCTGTTCTGTTTAAAAGATCATGTGCAGTGGATAGGTGTATACACATAAGCTCAAACTACTACCCACAATTCAATATACATGTGGTATACCATCACATGTGGTGTGGCAAGTTGTAAACTCGAAAAATATTACTCTCAACTCAAATTATCACACATTTTGTGGATAGTACTCACCACATGTGGTGTAGCTAGTTGTAGACTCGGAATATTACTCACAATTCAAATTATCACACATTTTGTGGATAGATATGTTTTCACCACATGTGGTGTGGCAACTCACTAGCTCAGAATATTACACACAATTCAATATAAATTATTAGATGTGGTGTGATAACTCATAAGCTCAGAATATTACCCACAATTCAATTTAAATTATACTTAGTCAATTGGTGGAAAAATAACAGATTATAAAGAAGGCAGATTACTTTTGTAACAATGGAACATGTATGTTACATGTGTGGAAATGTAGTGATGAAATAATTCAGACATTAAAAGAATAGTGTTGTGTGTATAAATGATAATAAAAATCAAGCGCAATCGATCCAAACAGTTGATCCAGTGGGCGAATTTGGTAAAATTGTTTATAAAACAGATCTATACATCATGAAGTAGGATGTACGTATGTTGGAAGTAGGCAATTTAACCTGAAATGAGAAATGCTGTTGTTGCTTTGGAAATATCTGTGAATGATTTAAATTCAGTATAATTCTACATGTATTTATATCGGAATAAACTATTATTTTTTTTTTTTTTTCTTTTGATGAAAGGGAAGATAGATGCTGATGTGTCATTGCTATAAGAACAAAATTAAGTGTTGATACCGTGATCTTCCCCATTTAACTTGTAAGCCAAGAGCTTATGGATAGTCTTTTATATTTAAATGTGTATCTGTCATATAAATGTGTAATAATATTGTTGTAATTAGTGACAGTCTTGAAGTTCAGGTCTTCACGGTAAAACACAAAATTAGAAAAATCATCGAAAAATTAATGTGTTACCTAAATGCCTTGTATTGCCAGTCACATTAATTTTGATACATGTTTCTGTTCTGCAATATAAACTAACATCAAGGTTAAAAAAACAAATAGTTGTTTACACTGAAATCAAGTACTGTCAAATAATCAAAGATATGCCAAGTAAGTTGTAATTTTCATAGATTTGTCAAAATGTCTGATCTTGAAATACAAACTGTTATGTCAGCTTTAAAATTAGCTTCTGTTTAAATGGAACATAATATTTATATTTTTATAGAAATATCCTACATAGAGTTGATCGATTTGTCTTTTGTGGGTATGAACAATGTTTTTAATTTCTGTCATCAATTCAAACAAAACAAAACATTCAATTGAAGAAAATTGTAAATGGTAATATTTTGTTGTTTCATGGTGACAGAGGTAAGGATTATTTTTAGAAACTACGCAATTTGTGTTTAACACATCGCAGACCAATTCTGACCAACTATATCGATGTATTCCAACTTTCCACAAATTTTACACAAGCCTTTTGCTTCATCATTCATGTGATTTTTGTTCACACAATTTCTCTCATATACAATTTCTTTAAACAATTTTTATTTGTTTAGCATTACATTCCATACTTTTGTGTTCATCTTTTTTTTTCAACAAACAAAAGATGTCTAGGATTCTGTTTGTAGTTTTAAAAAAAAAACAAAGCTTAAATTTGATTATATACATGTGTTATTTTAGTCCTCATTTCCATATTATAATACTTTGAATAATTTTATGCACCAAGATTCCATTGAACACTTTCATAGTATTTAAATTAAACCTCTTTAATTTTGGCCAAAATAAAATAGTGTAAGTATTGGATTGGGTTGATCTGATTAGTGACAAGTTGTAGGGTCGCCTGCCCAATATTGTCTTAATGTGTCAACTAAATCATCTCACTCAACACAAACTTTATCTATAGATGTAAAATTTTCAACAAAGACATTTTTAAATCCCACAAAACAAGTCACTATATAAACAATTCAATATACAAATGAAATCCACAACAAAATTTTTGGATCAAAATCAAAGCAGTCTAGTCATTCTAAGAATTAAAAATAAAAAGTAGACTTGATAATTCAAGCTTAGTAACGTTAATCCAATAATACTGATTTGAAATAACACTTCATTTGATCAAATTTTTACTTTGTCTTTCCATAAATCGTTAAATATATAGTGATATTTTTTATGCTCATCATTCTATTTGTAGATATATACATGTAATCAATGTTAATAATATTCATCATTGTGTGTTCATCTGCCATTTGTTTTCATCAAAACAACATCTTTCCATGGAATTGTATCCTCAAATATAATTCATACATGGTATAATCATTGTGACCACTCTTTTATGAGTATGATTTCATGGAAACCAAATTATCTCATTAACAATTTTACGAAGCAGCAAAATAATGTTTTTAATTTTGAACATATTTAAAATAATTATTGAAAATCCAAAAACTGATCTATTTAAAGTAGACCTTTTCGAGAAAGGGGATCACTCACTTGAATATGTACAATATAAAAACACAATGGACAGTATATATAAACTTAAAATAAAATCTTTGGAGAGTGATTTGCTCTCCTCACATTTTTTATGACAAGGTCTGTAGAGTAAGGTATTTTAAACAAGTTAAAACTGCCAAAATTGGCTGTAAAACTATTTTGAACACTGCCAATGATGCTGTGGAGTCAAATTGAAAATTATTCTTTCACGAACCACAAAAAGACTTGTGCTTCTTTTTTAAGTCTGACCCCAAGAAGAATGTAGTGTGTACTACGTACAGTAGATAGCAAAAAGAGGACAAATAGTCTGCTATGTGAGGTAATTATTTTATTAACCCAAATCAAGGTTACATCATTAAAAAAAATCAGTTATCATATTTTAAAATATATTAGATCATAGCCTATTATAACATGTATAAAATTAAGTATTCAACACCAATAAGAATAGAGGTTATTTAGTCTTTATTCAGCTTATCTTATATACAAAAATATTGTCATTAATATTTTTGAAGATGTTTCTGAAAAAAGACCACCTACTGATATTGGTGAAAAATTTACAAGTAATGATGATTCTACATGTACATGTAGGTCTATTGTTTTGGAAACCACTTTGGATAGATAAACTGTAACAAACTATTGTGGTCTGACATTTCAGCCTAATATTATGCTATTTATCACTATTAAGAACTACATGTAGGTTAAGCCATCATTTCCATCTGTATTTAACTTTTTCTGCTTTATTTATCATACATAATATATTATTGGAATAGATATCATTGTTAGTATATCAAATTGTGATCAATAATCAAATAGAACACTTTATTGGGTAACTGATAGGCTATCTGATATTAAAAGAGTTATTTCCTTTAGGTGTTTAATTTATACTTGATATATACAGATTGATTTTATGCAGGAATAAATTCCATTGTAATTTAAAGACATTGATATACATGTAACAACCACTAATTTTCAAGATGCCGTCTTGGGTTCTTATTTGACCAGATGATGAAGTGAAATTGAGTAAAAGTACATATTATTCATGAATGTCTTTTAGTATTAAGGCACTGATAGTTAGTCTCTTTAGAACATATTAATAGTACATGTACATCTATAATCTCAATTGATATTCCTTGATAAATTTGAATTTTTCTGACCTATGCAGATGGAAGGGTCCAGAAAGTTGGTTATTTTCCATTAAGACTTAAGAACTGGATAATCGGTGTCAAATTTATAGCAAATCACTAAATACATGTGCTCTGCATGGGTGGAATGGTTAGATGAAATGTTTATATTATTCTTTACTACTTTAGGGTTTACTTAAAATAAATTAAATATAAACCATCTAATCTATTGAAAGTAAAACAAAATCTATATGCAATACATGTATTGGTTATATCTCTGTCAATATATGCCAGTAAAGTTGTCAATTTATGTATGGAGATATTTTTTATGGTTATTGAATTTTTTATGTACATTGTAGAGATCGAAACTTTATTTGGCAAATACAAAGGGAAGTAACTCTTGTTTATATTTTTGTTAATGATATTTGTCTATCAATATGTGATGTGTATAGAAAGAAAATACCATTTAAAATATAATCTAATATATTTAACTCATCTGTCCTACGTAAACATTTATTCTACACAGATTAATCTGTCTTAAGATTTATTCAACATATATATTAGATCTATTAATATTCAATTAAACATACATTATTATGCAAGAGCTAAATCTCACTATTGCAGGTCTTTATTTAGGCCTGAAATGTTATATAAACTATTAATTAGACATTTATTAACTAAACAAGACCATAATCAACTGTCAATGGCATCGGATACTCAAGATTTTAACTATATTGGAACTGTTTGCCATTGATAAATTTAATTTAAAAATGGGAAAGCAAGGCTAAGGCTCGAATATACCAGTGCCCTCGTTACCACTATGCACACATCTTGTCAAAACTACAAACAGTGATAACTTGGCTCAGAATGAAGTAATTTGAATGAAATTTTCAATATTTTCATTTTACATTATCTAATTTTGAGCTATTAATATTATAGCAAGAATGGTCAGTTCTTTATCTAAATCTTACATAATGTATCTGTCTTTTAACACAATTGTTCAATATATGATAAAATAATATATATATAATAATGTGTGTATTATATTTATCTATGTTTGTTTGAAATCCAATATTGTTGAACTCTGAATTTTATTGTTCTTGTAGGCAGGTTGATTATTGTGACATGTTGAAAATGTAATATTTATATAAATATTAGTCAGTGTTATGTATTATCCACACAAATTTCATATTTTAAATAACGGTTAAAAAGAATAGTGTATTTTGTCTGCTAACGTATATGAACTATAAACTTCTAATTAGAAAGTAGCCATCATGTTTCTAAAGTCTGTATCTAAAATGTAACTTTTTTTCTGTTTAAAATATAAATGTACAAGCGGTCATATTTATTAGTCTGTATGTTAAATGTATATTCGTATGTAAATTCTCACACGTATATATATTCTGTATATGATATATTAAAGATTAGAATATAACATATTTATCTGTTATTTAATGTAACCATGTCTGTCTGTACATGTGCTTTGTAAATCCCAAAGTCTGTTTGTAACTTGTGACTTTTAGTTTTTTTTCATGGTTAATTTTTTTTCATAGGTCTACCCCCTGTCTTCATTGGGCTGATCGGTGCAAGAAAGTAGGACGTTACAGCCCATTTCATTTCATAGGTCACCAAAGTCGGTTGCTAACTAATCAAAAACATAAGAAAAGAAAAGTCAGTGAAACATTTGATTGTCAAATGGTGGAATTGATTGGTCAGCAAGTAAACTTGGTAGAGCAATGAAAACAGTTGATCTTACTCTGTAAGAAAATGATAATGCTCATAACCATTGCTTCAGTCAGGAATATGACAACCATAATGGTCATTTAGTCAATTGTGGCTAGCCACGGCCAGCTCTCATTGGTTAAGGGTTAAACCTGTGTTGGGAATTTAAACTCTTGTGTTAGTGAATAGATGGAATTAATAGTCAATGCAGATTCTAACAAGAGTTATGGCCCTTGTTTCACATCCGATCTGTTTGAAATTGATATGCATCATTTAAATTAGTGAAAAGAAGAAGCCTATTGAATTTCAGCAATTTACGCCAGGAGTTATGGCCCTTGTTTCTCTTTATTGTACCTTGTGAATGCTCTAGCGACAAAAGCTATTATCCGATCTGTATGAAATTTATATGCTTCATTTAAATTAGTAAAACAAAGAAGCCTATTGAATTTCAGCCATAGAGTTATGGCCCTTGTTTCACTTTATTGAATCTTGTGAACACTCTAATGACAACAGTTATCATTCGATCTGTTGTGAAATTGATATGCATCATTTAAATTAGTGCATCGAAGAAGCCTATTGAATCTCAGCAATTTCCGTTAATTACGCCGTGAGTTATGGCTCTTGTTTCACTTTTTTGTACCTTGTGAATGCTCTAACGACAATAGTTATTTTCTGATCTGTATGAAATTTATATATATCATTTAAATTAGAAAAACGAACAAGCCTATTGAGTTTCAGCAAATTTCCGTTGATTACATCTAGAGTTATGGCCCTTGTTTAGCTTTGTTGAATCTTGTGAACGCTTGAACAACAAAAGTTATCACTTAATCTGTATGAAATTCATATGCATCATTTAAATTAGTGAAATGAAGAAGCCTATTGAATGTCAGCAATTTCCGTCAATTACTTCTCAAGTTATGGCCCTTGTTTTACTTTGTTGAACCTTGTGAATGATCGAAGGAATTAGAACGAAAAAGCCTGTCGAATTTCAACAAGTTCTGTAGATTGCTTCCAGAGTTATGGCCCTTGTTTTATTTTTTAGAACCTTGTGAACCCTCAAACAACGAAAATTATAATGTCATCTGTATGAAATTGTCTATTAAATTCCCCTAATTACCTACAAAAGAATGAATATGCGACAACCCTTGTCGACTACTCGGACAATTTAGCTGCTGTGGGCGTATGTTTTGTTGCCTGGCAACCTATCTTTTTTCTACTACATCCCAAAGGAAAGTGACATCAAGTGTTCAAAATAATCTTTCATTCCTCTACATTGTATTATGAAATTATTAATTTTGTCTTCTTGAACGTCAATGCAAATTCTATATGTCACCTTTTCCTACTAGAAACAGCTGAAACTCATGAATGAGGTGATTTCTGGATTTCAAATTTTCACAGAACTGAACAAAAGTCAGTCTATTCTACTTGAAGATCTTTTTATACTTTGATGTGCTTAAATACAGCAATCTTTACATTGACGTTTGAGATATATGTGAACGATCTGGATTGTTGTGTTTGTACCTGGAAGTGCCAAAAAAATAAGGTCAAATAAATTAGTTCTGATTACAATAAAAAATTTGTGTTTGGGCTTGTCCTCCATATTGTTTGGGAGGATTCCTCTCCATATTGTAGATCTCTTGTGTATAATTAGTTAGTATATGATTTACCAGATTATGTGCTGTATACTATATTAGAAGGTCTAGAAATATATAAATACCAGTATATAATCATGTAACATTTAAAATACTCTAGATAATTTGATGAACGGTCAAAGGAGAATTTAATTTAAATTATAGATCAAAGATAACAACATCTTGCGGAGATGAACATCTTAGCTATCTAAGCACAGTTCTACTTAATCTGCAGTTGAACACTCTGTTCTCAGTAGGGTTTACTTGTAGCTTCTTCCTTTTTGCAGTGGATTTTATTTGCAGATAACACCCTATGATCAGTCGTATTGCAGATGTTCGTGTCTGTAATAAAATAGAGCAACATATGTAAATGTTTGCTGTATATGTTAAAAAGTTTTGTATATTTGACAAAGGAACATATTTATTTTACAGTAGTTTTGTACCCTAAACATATAAGGTTTTGCCTTAGATACAGGGTAAAATAGGGATTCCTTTAACAAGTGGTAATATTGTTTAAAATCTGAGTAAATGAGTAGTCTATTTACGAAAAACAACACAGTTTCAATTGTGAATTAAAATTGCTTGAAATATAACTATCATTAGGCTAAATACCAGAATCTGTCACCACTGTAATACACATGCAGGAAATAAGGTTAACCTTGTAGCTGTTAAAAAAAAATTGATTCTGAAATAGCTTATAGATTAATGCCCTCATGTATAAGAAAAGCTGTTTCTACCTACATGATAAAGAAAGACACCATTAATATCTAGAAAAGACCTATATATGAGTTTTTAAATTATTTAATTAAAATAATGAAAAACTTGTCTTTTTTTTTACACATAACTGCCTATTTTTTTTTATTAAAAAAAACTGTGGTAGAAGCATGGAGACAACTAAGTTCAACTACATGTAGTTTGAAGGGAAACTGTGTTGATTTTTTGTCAATTTATTTAGTTATATAACATGACCGAACAGAAATATAACACATTGAATTTATTAAATGTTGACTTCATCATAGATGTTGGCGGCATATTGCTTGAACGAAAACAAAAATGGCATATTAGTGGTATGTCTACCTGTTGTAAATAATGCCATTTTTTTGTAATATATATATATATATATATATATGTATATACCCTGTAATTCATTCATTCTGTCATGTTGGCCATGTTTTCTCGGGGTATAAAAATTTCCTTGATTTTTTCCGAAAATATTTTCTTCTTTTGGTCTTTATTTATATGACTTAGTTAACAGACTGTATTCTTCTTTTTCCAGTCTAAAAACGTCTAATAAAAACTATAGAAATACATAAACTTTTGTCTTTTATTGGTGTTGGATTGAGGTCCTGTGTACATATTGGTGGAGCATTAGAAAGATCTCTTGCAGTTGAATTTGATGGCAATGCCACTCTCTAAGTAAAAGCATTCTCTCGCACCCCATACGCCAAAAGGATGCTTCATTGATAGGATAGTCCAAGATAGAATTGTAAACAATTTTTATAGCAAAATCACAAAACTTTTCGGTTGAATCGCTGAAACTGTCCTACCAAGTCACTGGGATATTTCCATGAGGGTCCTCTAGTAATACGCACTTGCGAGATTTACCAAAAAAACACCTAAATCCACCACTTTTTCAACTTGTATCACATTTACTACCATATTTTGTCTAAATTTATGGGCTGTCATGGCAGTTCCAAATCGGCACAATCTAACAAAAGCAGTGCCTATTCCAGTGTTGAATAAAACATCATTAATTCATTTTCCTTGTCAGTGATGCAGGATGGAGGGCCTGACAAGGACAGCATATAAAAGATCCCTTGACAGTTGGAATTCGATATAAGAGTAGCCCATAGTGCCGCTGTCCGGTCAAAATATCCCTCATACCACACTGTATGGTGTATGCCCGTTTTCATTAGCCCAGTTCCGAGCAGAACAGTAGGACGTTAAACTCCATTTCATTTATATTGCCGCTGCCCTTGTCCTTCCTTCGGTCCGTCCGTCGTCCACAATTTCTTGTGAACACTCTACAGACTACTAAAATTTATCATCTGATTGTTTTGAAATTGATATGTTATTTACATTAGTGAGATGAAGAAGCCTATTTAATTTCAATAATTTCTGTTAATTTCTTCTGGAGTTATAGCCCTTGTTTCACTTCATTGAACCTTGTGAATGTTCTAATGACAAAAGTTATCATCCTATATGTATGAAATTTATATACATCATTTAAATTAGTGAAATGAAGAATCCTATTGAATTTCAGCAATTTCTGTTAATTTTATCTAGAGTTATATGGCCCTTGTTTCACTTTGTTGAACCTTATGAACGCTCAAACAACTAAAGTTATCATCTGATCTGTATGAAATTTATATGCATCATTTAAATTACTTCCAAAGTTAAAGCCCTTGTTTTAATTTGTGTACCCTCAAACAATGAAAATTATAATCTGATCTGTATGAAATTGGCTTGTAAATGCTGCCCATTACCTACAAAAGAATAAATACTGTATATGGCAACCCTTGTCGACCGCTGGAATAATGTAGCTTCTGTGGGCGTATGTTTCGTTGCCTGGCAACCTGTCTTTGACTAAAATAACATATTTTTCACAAGAAACCTCAAATAGCAAAACATTTTATAATAGTTAGTGTGATATAAGTTGAAGTATATGGTTATGTAGGCCTACAGTTTTAATTGGTAAAATCGTGCCACGGGCCTTAAGTTCTTTCATGGGAGGCTTTCATAATCATAGGTGTCTACATGTATTATCTAACAGTGGCAGATCCATCCTTTCCAAGTTGGGGAGCCATGGTGGCTCAGTAAATAGGGTGTTGGCTCACTAACCAGGAGATCTGGGGCTAGATCCTGGTGATGGCCGAAAAAGTTCCAAGGAACAATAACAATGTCTAGTTGTTCGGATGGTACAGAAATTTGTGTTCATATACAGTATGTTAAAGTTAACCCTTGACAGAATACAGAAGGCTGCTGCTGTTGCGGCAATATTTCATAACCAAATTTCATTTCATTAGTTTTTGAATTGGGTTGGGTGTAGCCTAATAGATAGAACTCAATGACTTTACATTGAATACCGCTTGGGTTATTCAATGGTTCACTCAAGTGTATTCAATGATATTTGCTTGTATTTGCATGTACGATAGAATAATATAATATTATCATATATGGCCATATTAATAATTAATTAAATTTTAATTGAACCTCTGTACTACTACTAGTACTAACCTAGTTTATTACCTACTTAGTACTTTACCTAGTCCAGTTAAAACAAGAGGTTGAAGAGGCATTCCATCATTCATGATTCAGTTCAGTGTGTTTTATTATTTAGATCTAGGTCTATCTATAAAATTATATCAAAATAAAACTATTCGGAATTAGCTTTTTATTATACGGTAGGTAATTAAAAGAGTACCGTAGGCTGTGAGTGTGAGGAGGGGTTTTTTTTGTTTTGTTTTTTTAAATACCGGGTATTTCAATAAGATGTTTGCTTCTTTTCGTTTTTTTTTTATCGCCGACGGTGTTTTTAACGATTAGTCTTGATTGTCGTGCCATTTTAATTGGTGATTTTCTATTGGTTAAGAAAACACATACACAGGCACCATAATAATCGAGGGCAAAAGCGCATGGACTATTTCTTCTGATATACCGAAGCTTTAGAGTTCATACACAGCACATAAAACTCGATTACGTGATGAAAAAGATGCTTTGATAAAGAATTTTAATAGCAACCATGATATTTGTGTAAATAGTGGTTTTTATACGTCTTGGAATTACAAATTGTTGTTTTAATTTTGTAAACAGGAGGAAACTAATTGTACCGCGCAGTGAGAATTTAATTTTACACGCATGCGTATTGACGACAAATCTGCAGAAATGGCGACCCAAGCTAAAGTGCCGAAAGCAGAAGGAAAAAATAACCATGATAATGTCGATGAACAAGCAGGTATAAATCATTTACGTCTTAAACCGTCCTAATATAATTGTGCACCAAACTGTACACGGTGGGGGGGCAATATATTTCGAATCCTCGTACTCCGAGCAAAGTTTGTAATCAGTTCCTTTCGAATGGGGAAGCACATGGCTTGTTGACCGTGCTAGGAAGCTTTGTTCTTCATTGTCGATTTGCGAAGTTCTATCGGCAACACACCGTTGAGTAACAAAAATACATCTCTATGCCATACACAATGGCCTGACCCATATAATATTTCTTCTAAAATATGTTACTCCATGGCTAAATATCAATACAACTGAAAAAGAAACTGGAATAAATTTTGAGATGGTTTTGCAATGTTCAAATTTTGTGACTGGAAGTCAGGGAACCAATCCCATAATAGTCAAAAGAGCAGTGTGAAAGAAACCCATCTAACAACATATTTTTTGTGACTTACAATATTTTCTATTGTAAATCTGAATTATTGATCAAGCAACCCCAGTCTGCAATAAACAATGAAAATTTGGACATGATTTAGAGCCTATATTAAATTTATTGAAATACAAGAATTACCTCCCCTTGACCTTTGAGTTATCAGGATTCTTGCACATTTCTAGCTAATAACCTTTTGTTTTATCTACAGATAAAGAACAGCAGGAAGCAATTGAACAAATAGATGAAGTTCAGAATGAAATTGACAGATTAAATGAACAGGCGAGTGAAGAAATATTGAAAGTGGAACAGAAATTCAATAAAAGTCGGCAACCCTTTTTCCAGAAACGTTCGGATTTAATAGCCAAAATCCCTAACTTTTGGTTCACTGCTGTATCCTTTTTCTGCCAAAGCAAAAATTACTAAATATTTAATTCTGGTTCATTGAAAAACTTGCAATTTTCTGACCAAATTATTTGTATTCAATATAGGTATCCAGATTGCATTCTTATTCTCATCTCTGGTGGTTTATTTGTCTGACTGCCCAGAAATATTTCTATACACGCTTCAGGATTGATGGTTTTTGAGTTACCTTTTTTTTTTATTTAATTCATAAGCTTACTTACATATGACACAAGCCATCATAAGGTGTAGAACTAACATGGTTTTGGGTAAAAAAAAAAACAATTTCGAAACTGGGACAAAATTAATCAACCAAGTTAGATGTTACTCTTTGATATTCTGAAGATGTAACATCTAACATCCTAACAGTCAAAACCTCGTCACAAAAGTTGATAACTAGTTTACTTCTTTCAGCGTACGGCAAAACTCCCAATTTTCAGTTATCTGCACCACTGACACATTAAACTTACATATCATATCCATCTATTTTCCACAAAATCTTTTTTCTTCTCTATTTTAAGAGATTTCTTCGCAAAAATATTCCGCGATAACCAACAACAAACGGCGAAACCGGAAATCACCTATATTGGTGCGAGGTGAAGGCTGGCAAGATGCGTATTAGGAACAGGGTGCAACACGAAACGAAATCAAGAGTTTATTTGAAGGCAATCCTTTTAATGTCCAAGTCATTGATTAAATGGACATCAATAAACAAAAATCATAACATAAAGTCGATTGACTTTAAATTTATACACAGTGTTTAAGGTCATGAGATGAAGAAGCCGATTGATTTTCAGCGATTTCCAATATTTGCTGCCAGAGTTATGGCCCTTGATCACTTTGAATAATCTTGTGGACGCTCAAGAGGCCAAAGTTAATATCCGATTGACTTTCAATTTATACACAGTGTTTAAGGTCATGAGACGAAGAAACCTATTGATTTTCAGCGATTTCTGATAATTACTGCCAGAGTTATGGCCCTTGATCACTTCATAAAATCTTGTAGATGCTCTAGAGACTAAAGTTAATATCTGATTGAGTTTAAAGTTATACACAGTGTTTGAGGTCATGAGACAAAGATTTCTATTGATTTTCAACGATTTCCGATAATTACTGCCAAAGTTATGGCCCTTGATCACTTTGCAAAATCTTGTGACGCTCTCAAGGCTAAAGTTTGACTTCAGATTGATACACAGAGTTTAACATCTTGAGACGAACAAGTATATTGATTTTCAATGAATTTTTATGACTTGAACAGTTAAATCCATGATATTAAAAGCTTTGCATACAAAACGTTAGCATGGGGCAGAACTTTATAAAAACCAAACAAATTCTAATAGTTTTCTGATAATTACTCCGTGAGTTGTTGCTCTTAATCAGATTTTAGTGTATTATAAATGTTTCATTACCGAAAAAAGTAAAAATATGCGACAACCCTTGTTGACTGCCCGGACGATTTAGTTGCTGTGGGCGTATGTTTCGTTGCCTGGCAACCTATCTTTGGTAGTGTCGTGCTAGTGGATTTTTACAAGCCTGTTCTAGATGCTTAAGTTAATATCCGATTGACTTTAAATATATATACACTAGTGTTTAAGTTCTTGTGATGAACAAGTATATTGATTTTCAATGAATTTTGATAAAAGCTAAATCCATGATATGTTTCATATACTAAACGTTAGCATGGAGCAGAACTAAAAGCCAAACAATTTCTAACAGTTCTCTGATAATTACTTAATGAGTTGTTACTCAATCAGATTTTAGTGTAAATGTTTCATTACGGCCCAGACGACTTAGCTGCTGTGGTCGTATGTTTCGTTGCCTGGCAACTTATCTTAAAGTGATACTTTTGATCAGGTATATGTATAACTCATTATGTGATTCATTGATGGTTTGCTTAGTTTATTTCAAAAGTTAATTTCTTTAACAATGTAATCAAAGTTTGTCAACCACCCTCAAATATCTGCCCTACTAACGGAAGAAGATGAAGAAACATTACAGTATCTAACCAAGGTTGAAGTTCAAGAATTTGAAGATATAAAATCAGGATATAAAATTAATTTTGTAAGTCAACTAAATTCTTACAATGAGTTTCTTTTGAATGTACAACCTACACTGTAGTAAAAAAAAAAACAACATGTTAAAATGGGCAAGTCATGGCTCACAACCAATGAGAAATATTGAAATCATTTACCCATAGAGACAACAAATTGTTGGTTACGAACTGATATCCTTTCAGTCTCAGAAAACAATAAGTTTTAAAAAAAACACAGATCTCTGCTAAATTAATTTGAGATTGTGATAGACCACTGATTCCCAACCATTTGTTGGTTGCGACCCCATTCCAGAAACCAGTATGTGATCGCGACCCCTCGAAGAACAAGGTTACCTTTTTTAATATGAGACATCATCATTTACAGATCAAAGACGATTGGCACTGTACAAAGAGATGTATAGATCAGAGACTGGTATGCTTTTCATGAAAATCAGAACGTAACTTACTGAATTATGGCCCCTGATTGTACGAAAAATCACGTTTTTAGCTTGTGGACCCACTAGAAGTCACAATTTATACTCAATTTAAAAAAAAAAAAAAGTTTAAATCTATCACTGTTACACTTAAAGATACATTCCTGCGTACAAACTGGGTGATTTAATGGTATATATGGACTAAAAACATATTCAAACTAATTAATTTGTCATAATTTTGCTTCAAACATTGTAATTGCGAAGGAATGCCCTGCTATAAAAATTCGATCAAACCAGGTCATGTTTACTTCACATGACTTACCTCTCTTGGAAGTCAGAGGAGAATTGATTGCATACATAGGACGATGTTGTCTTTAATCGCTTACTATTTATTACAAATATTGAATCCTAATTAAATTCTCGGTTTATCCACTACCTGCATCTATTTCTGTCATTTGTATCTCAAAAAGTGTTGTACGTCTCTTTCATAAAGTTTATTAACTTGTACATTAAGCGCTCCATGAGTGTTTTTCGGGGAATCCAGTATTTTTCTAGTAAGATTGGATATTTCTACTTTACATATATACCAAAATTGACATACTTTTATTGGAAATAACCACACAATGATTATTTTTTTGGGAACCCATCTTTAAGTGAACGTTGAGTTCAAATTTTGTATAAAAAAAAATTCTAGCTCAAATTGCCTGACAGAATGGCCACTCCTTGTACGTAAATAGTGTAAAAGTAAGTAATACCAAGGTTGTGGACACTCTAGAAGTTACAATTTTAATCCGATTTTGATGACACTTGAAATGATTATAATCCAAACATCTTGGTTCCAATTTCTTAAAACGTTTAAATTTATCACCGTTACACCCTAATGAGGGTTGTGTTCCAATTTCTTGAAAATTGGACCAAAACTGCCTGACAAATGGCGGTTCCTTGTACACAAATAGAGTAAAAGTATGTCATACCAAGTTTGTGGACCCTCTAGAAGTCACAATTGTTATCTGATTTTGTTGAAACTTAAAATATATCTTTATATCCCAAATATCTCAGTCCTTTTATTTATTCGCGCATTTCAGACCATAACTTCTTGAATTATGGCCCCTGATTGTGCGCAAAATCGTTTTTTTTTTTTGTTAGCTTGTTCTCTATCCATCTCTTGCAAAATGTGGCCGTATCTTGCCTGGCAAGAGTAGTCCGACACAATCCCAGGAAAAGAGCTCCTTGACCCCAGTTGTTGTTGCGACCCAGAGGTTGGAACCCAGGTGATAGACACAACTCTGGGAGAACAAAAAACTGAGCCACGGTTTTAATATTCCTATTAATATTGGAAAAGTGCTCCTTGACCCCAGTTGTGGTTGCGACCCAGAGGTTGGAACCCAGGTGATAGACAACTCTGGGAGAACATAAAACTGTGCCCCGGTTTTAATATTCCTATCAATATTGGAAAGAATTAAAGACAGGTGTCTGTCTGTTTGATCACTACTTTGAGTATACTGCTTATTTTATAGAATTTTGATAGTAATCCATATTTTGAAAATGAAGTCATATCGAAGGAGTTTCATTTGAATGATACTGGTGAACCATCTTCCAAATCTACAACAATTAAATGGAAACCTGGAAAAGTAAGTGTGAAATTTTGAAATATATCCTATGTTAGTCCCAAAATGACCTGGTTAGTATTGAGTGGGCATTTATTATACATATGAATTTTCCTGATTAAAAAGGCTCTTAAACTGTTATCTCGTATGCTGAATTTTGAGTTGGAGCTACGGGCGTTCAGTGGGTTTTTAGTTACCTATAGATTTTCAATGATTTCCATAAATAACTGCAAGAGTAAAAAATCTGTAGGCTAAAAAAAATCTTGGCACTAAAGTTAAATTTATACAGTGTTTATGGTCATGAAACAAAAAAGTGTATTTATTAATTTGACTATAAATAAGCATTGTTTATGTGATATTTCCAACTTTCTGATAACTCAAACCGCCATATTTTCATGTGGACGTATATTGTCGTTGACCCTGTCTGTCCAGAGTTAGTTTGTGGGCACTTTACAGGTCACAATTCTTATCTGATTTTGACGGAACTTGAAATATAGGTTTATCTCAAATTCCAAAAGATCTTGGTTCCTTTCGATATTGGCATATATCGGATCGTAACTTCCTGAATTATGGCCCTTAATTGTACGAAAAATCACTTTTTTTCTTTAACTTGTTCTCAATAATCTCTTGCAAAATGTGGACGTATCTTGCCTGGCAACCGCTGGTTTGTATAAATTTACAATCTTGAACTAAAAGCCAATCAAATTTAAATTATTTCTGTTGATGAATGAGTTGTTACTCCTAATTAGTTTTTTTATGTCTCTTAAATTTTCCCATTACCTAGAAAAGAATATGCGACAATCCTTGTGGACTGGTGGTGTGTTTGTTGCCTGGCAAACAATCTTTTTTAAAACAGAAAGTGATTTGTTAACTGAGTAACAGTTGACATTCTTAGTAAAGATACATGTACAAGTTAAATTGGAATTTCTAATCCTTGTACAGGGCTAGAAATTCACGCGAATCTCTGAATCTGATATGTGCAAGGATTCTCACAATATCTTTTTAAAGGAAAAAAAAATTGTCGTGTCCATCCATATATAAGTCGAAGCAGTATATACGACGAATGTTTTTCAACTCCACAGTAGCAATCTATTATCAAGTTTCAGGACTGTTCTCCTAGTCTAATACAGTGCGGGTGTACACCATGAAAAATTGGCGCATATTAATTATGATAAAATAATCAGTTTATAAATGTAGGACTAACTTGATTAATATTCGAAGTTGTGGTCTTGGTTTATTTCAAGCAGTTTTTATTTCAATATATCTGATATTAATAAGACACTGAAGGCTTTGTTGCTAATCACACGTATTTTAAAAGTATGATACTAAAAATAGAATAAAACAACGCAGTAATGGAAACCTGCCAATTTTGACAAATGTCTGAAAAAAGATTGTTTTTTTTTTAAAAAGAAAAGAAATAAACAAGCTAAGAAACATCTACAAATATTTAGATTGGAATTGTGTAACTTAATTAAAGTAGTTTTGTTTTAGACAATAGTGTGTGCCCCATCATGGAGAGACATTGGGTTACTGAACAAATTCTTTTCAAGATGTTGATTTTTTTTTTTTTTTTTACCTTCATCCGCATATTTATAAGTCAGAAGCAGAGTATAAGACAAAGGCGGGCCTTCAGGGGAAAAAAATCGACTTATGTCCCGAAGAATACAGTACTTTATAGAATACTACATGTATAATAAAATAAAATATTTGTTGTGTTTTTGTTTTACTGTTTACTTCTAACTTATAATTTTGAAGAGTTTCTGGCTTGCCATTGTCTTTTGTTTTTGTGTTTATGTTAGTTAATGAATTGTGTGGAAAATTCCCCGATCACGACACAGCATTTTATTTTAATCCCTTTTAAATAATATTTAAAAGAGACTGCTCTAGCAGACCTTAAAACAAAATAATTTTGGGTTCCATTTTATCCTTTTGAGCGATTTGATTCCGCTAGTTCCACGTCAATATAATGGGGTTAAATTGGATCATTCCAATTCTATTCTATCACTGTCAATATCGGCCATATGTTTTTTTTTGGGGGGGGGGGTCACTTTTGTTTGCGCGGACATAAACTATATTCCTTTATTATAGTACTTTGTGCAGTTATCAATTTCGGACGGTGGCATTGTATTTTGGTGTTTTAGATTAACACAAAACACAATTTTGTTTTTCAGACAGTATTATTAAATAAGTAAGCCATTAGTGAGGTTTTTAAAACGGATAAGTTTAAATTTACAGTATTGTAATTTAAGGATTTGACGATTACATCAAGTACTCCCAGTAAAGGTGGAAGAAAGAGAAATCATGATGAAGGGGAACAAGAAACATTTTTTAACTGGTTTTGTGATCATGCAGATGCTGGAGCCGATGAATTAGGAGAAGTTATTAAAGACGATATTTGGCCAAATCCATTACAATATTACTTGGTAAGTCGAGGATGGAAGTTCATTTGAAAACACACAAGCAAGATTTTGCTTGTTGATATGAAATGTTAAAGCAAAAATTCAAGTGGCAATATATTTTTTCTGGAAGTGACATTAATAATCCCGTGCCGTGACTTTGTTTTACGTGTACAATTTTGTTTCCGAAGCATATCTCATAAACCATTCAAGATATCTTCATGAAACTTAGTACAAACATCAACCTGTGATAGTGGTTTCGCCTTTTGCTAATTAGAAATTTCTTGGATTTAATCATGTGGTCGTATATTGTCGTCGGTCCGGCATCTACAATTGCTTGTGGATACTCTAGAGGCTAAAGTTAATATCCAAATGAAAATGAATTTATACACAGTGTTTAAGATCACAAGAAGAAGAATCCTAATGATTTTCACCGATTTCCGATAATTAATACCAGAGTTATGTCCCTTGATGACTTTGAAAAATCTTGTGGATGCTCTAGATGCTAAAGTTAATATCCGATTGACTTTAAATTTATACACAGTGTTTAAGGTCATCAGACGTAGATTTCTGATAATTATGGCCAGTGTTATGGCCCTTGATCAATTTAAAATATTGTGGATGCTTTAGAGACCATAGTTATCATCTGATTAATTTTATAATTATACACTGTGGTTACCCCTATATATAATCGTTGCAGTTGACTTAAGATTGCTACACAGAGTTTAAGGTCTTGAGACGAACAAGTATATTGATTTTCAATGATTTTTGATAACTTGAATGGCGAAATCCATGATATTAAGTGTTTTGTATACTAACCGTTAGCATGGGCCAAACAAATTCTAATGATTTTCTGATAATTACTTAATAAGTTGTTACTCTTAATCAGATTTTAGTGTATTATAAATGTTTCATTACCAACAAAAGTAAAAATTTCCGACAACTCTTGTTGACTCCCCAGCTGATTTAGCTGTCTGGCAACCTATATTTCTCCAAGTCTAAAAAAAACCCACCATTTCTATATATCACCATTACACCCTAATTTCTTAAAAATTGAACAAAATGACCACCCCTGGTACGCCAATAGTGTAAATATATGGTATATCAAGGTTGTGTACCCTCTAGCGGCCACAATTTTGATCCGATTCGCGCATATCGGATCGTAACTTCCTGAATTATGGCCCTAGATTGTACGAAAAATCGTATTTTTAGCTTGTGGTCCTTTTAGAGATCACAAGTGAATATATCACTGTTACACCCTAATGATGGCCGAGTTGAATTTTGTGAAAAGCTGCCGAATACAATGGCAGTCCCTTGTACGCAAATAGTGTAAAAGTATGTAATCCCAAAGTTGTAACCCTCTAGAGGTCACAATTTTTATACAATTTTGATGAAATTTAAAATATATCTTTATATCCCAAATATCTCAGTCCATTTCGATATTCGCGCATTTCAGACCATAACCTCCTGGATTATCGCCACTGTTTGTACACAAAATCCCTTTTCTTTTTTTGCTTGTTCTCTATCCATCTCTTGCAAAATTTGGGCATATGTTGCCTGGCAACCACTGGTTCCTTCTGCCTTTCAAATAAGTGCAAGGTCGCAGGATGTTGATGACTAGTCATCTTGTTTAAATTGTCCCCCGCCTTTCGAAGAAAGCAGGGGATTATTAAAATGGGTTCGTCTGTCTTGTCTGTCCATCCGTCACACTTTTTGGGACACAATAACTCTTTCTAATTGAGCTAGAATGTTCAAACGTGGTGTAGGTATTTATTAGTTCAATGCCTTGATGGTGTTGAAAGATGAGCATTTTCTGCTTAGGGTAAGCGGAGATGAGCAATTTGATTGGACACAATAACTTGCGTCCGTTTCTTTCTAATTGAGCTAGAATGTTCAAACTTGGTGTAGGTATTTATTAGGTCAATACCTTGATGGAGATTGAAAATGAGCATTTTCTGCTAAGGGTAAACAGAGATAAGCAATTTGATTTGTTGATGCTTTGGAACACGATAACTTGAGTTCTAATTTAGTGAGAGTGATGAAACTTGGTGTATAATTTCATTACATCAATACCTTGACTAAGTTCAATAATGAGCAGTTTGATTGGCTAAGACTTTGGAACACATTAACTCTCCTAATTGAGCTAGAATGTTTAAACTTGGTGTAGGTGTTTATTAGGTTAATGCCTTGATAGAGTTCGAAGATGAGCATTGTCGGCTTGGGGTAAGCCAAGATAAGCAATTTGATTGGTTGATGCTTTGGGACACGATAACTTTGGTTCTTATTAAGTGAGAGTGATGAAATTTGGTGTATAGTTTTATTACAAAAATACCTTGGCTAAGTTCGATAATGAGCATTTTCTGCTCAGGGTAAGCAGAGATGAGCAATTTGATTGGTTGATGCTTTGGGACACGAAACTTTAGTTCTAATTAAGTGAGAGTGGGGACACTTCGTGTAGAGTTTTATCTCATCAATACCTTGACTAAGTTCCATAAATTAGCATTTTCTGCTTATGGGTAAAGCAGAGCGATAAGTAATTTGATTGGTTGAGACTTTGGAACACAACTCTCCTTCTAATTAAGGTAGAATGTTCATACTTGGTGTAGGCGTTCATTAGGTAAATGCCTTGATGGAGTTCGATGATAAACATTGTCTGCTTACGGTCAGCAGAGATAAGCAATCTGATTGGTTGATGCGTTGGGGCACGATAACTTTTGTTTTAATTTTAAGTGAGAGTGATGAAACTCATTACCTTGACTAAGTTTGTTGATGGGAATTTTCTGCTTAGGCTAAGGATCGATAAGCAGTTTGATTGGTCGATACTTTGGAACACATAACTCTCCTTCTAATTGAGGTAAAACTTTCATTCTATCTGATAGAGGGTGATGAAACTTTGTGTATAGTTGATAATCAGTTTGATTGGTCGATTAGTGAATATGTGTCATCTATTTATTTTGGGATTTCGGCGGGGGACATCAGCCTCACTGTTGGCTTGTTTATCTAACTTCTAGTACTTGACAATACTAGAAAACTTGCATCACAGGCACTTGAAGTAAAAAGAATTAAAATATAACTTCTTACCTTATCCTTGATACAAGGTACAACGTATATTCACTATATATAATAATATAAAAAATTGTGGGAATAATTGTTGATTGCACAGGAGCCACAATGGCTAAGTGAGTCTAGTCTGGAGAACGCGGGTTCGCTCCAGGTGTTGCTGACAAAGTGATCTTGCGGACACAAATAAACTTCATCACATTAAACCTCTCATAGGAGACTGGCCAAACTCCTATAGAACCAACAGGAGGGATGAAGTTGTTTTCTGTTGCTCTCATATTGGTCATACTTTTTTTAACTCACATTTTTATTTTGAAGCGCGAGCCTCAACCAGAATGTGTTCACTGTCATGTTTCTTTGACAGTTAAGCACATTTTGATTGAGTGCAATCCTCTCAAGAATTTAAGATCAAACTAATTACCATTGCCAGTCACTACATCAATTATTGGCTGAACCGGAGCTGTATGGCAGTGTCGCAAGACGGGGAGGGCCTGACAAGGACAGCTGTCAAGTTGTTGGGATGGATCGAAAAACCAAGGATCTGTGTTTGCCCATCTGCATTAGCCCAGTCGGATGTTAAAACAAACCCCATTTCATTTTGATTGCAACAGGCATATCTGTCAAAAAAATAAATTCTCCTGTTCTCCCACTGTAACTGATCAGATATTCCAGTCCTGAATGAGTTGATAGGTTTGGTAAACAATTTGTATATCGATTTAACTATGAGTTCGCTGATCATTGTCCACATTTCATAGGTATTTGATTCATTACTGTAATGTCATTTGTGTGCCAGTTTATGTTTTTCCTTCTGAAGCTTGTGACATTAAAGGTTTTCTTAAAAAAAACACTACAATTCAATTCTCATGTTCATATCAAAATTTGACCTACAGCTTAGCAAGAAGTCTCATATAAATGTATATTTTGTTTTACCAGGCATCAGAAATTGATGAAGACACCGGTGGTGATTTAGGAGAAGGTAATTTTATACGCCCATCACTCCCACTATGTAATAACTTCCTATGATGTCATTACTGACTTCCAGTCATTTTGAATTTAGTTCTTCATCCCTGAAGAAGTTAGTATTTTTACTGACGGTCCGTCCGTCCGTCCGTCCACAATTGTTTGTGGACTCTCTACAGGTCACAATCTTATCCGATTTTGACGAAACTTGAAATATAGGTTTATCCCCAAAAGATCTCAGCTGCTTTCGATATTGGCATGTATCGGACCGAAAATTCATGGATTATGCCCCCTGATTGTACGAAAAATCACGTTTTTAGCTTGTGGACACTATAGAGGTCACAATTTTTATCCGATTTTGTTGAAACTTGAAATATAAGTTTATAACCCAAAGATCTTGGTTCCTTTCGATATTTGAGCATATCGTCCCGTAACTTCCTGAATTATGGCCCCTGATTGTACGAAAAATCGCGTTTTTAGCTTGTGGACCCTATGGAGGTCATAATTTTTATCCGATTTAAAAAAACGTTTTATTATATCACCGTTACACCCTAAGGATGGCTGAGTTCGAATTTCGTGAAAATCGGCCCAAAATTGACACACAAAATGGCCGCCGTTTGTTCTCAAGTAGCGTAAAAATATTATATAACAAGGTTGTGGACCCTATAGAGGTCACAATTTTTATCCGATTTTGTTGAAACTTGAAATGTAAGTTTATAACCCAAAGATCTTGGTTCCTTTCGATATTTGCGCATATCGGACCATAACTTCCTGAATTATGGCCCCTGATTGTATGAAAAATCGCGTATTTAGCTTATGGACCCTATAGAGGTCATAATTTTTATCCGATTTAAAAAACCCTATTATTATATCACCGTTACACCCTAAGGAGGCTGAGTTCGAATTTCGTGAAAATCGACCCAAAACTGACAGACAAAATGGACGCCCTTCGTTCTCAAATAGCGTAAAAATATGGTTTATCAAGGTTGTGGACCCTATAGAGGTCACAATTTTTATCCGATTTTGTTGAAACTTGAAATGTAAGTTTATAACCCAAAGATCTTGGTTCCTTTCGATATTTGCGCATATCGGACCGTAACTTCCTGAATTATCGCTCTTGATTGTACGAAAAATCGCGTTTTTAGCTTGTGGACCCTATAGAGGTCATAACCCTATTATTATATCACCGTTACACCGTAAGGACGGCTGAGTTCGAATTTCGTGAAAATCTACCCAAAACTGACAGACAAAATGGCCGCCCTTTGTTCTCAAATTGCGTAAAAATATGGCATATCAAGGTTGTGGGCCCTATAGAGGTCACAATTTTAATCCGATTTTGTTGAAACTTGAAATGTAAGTTTATAACCCAAGGATCTCGGTTAAATATTGCTATACTACAGTTTTAGAGAGCTGACATCGTGTTTTTTATTTTCAGAAGACGATTTAGATGAAGAAGGAGTAGATGACGAGGAAGGAGATGAAGATATAGATGGGGAAGATGAGGTAAAGTATACCAAAGCATAATAGAAAAAGTACCAACAAAAGAAGAAAATCAAGACCCACACACACGCACACACACACAATTTGCCATAGCAGTTTTACTCTTACGGTGAAATGTAAGCACAATGGATAGAAATCAAGTCAGTAACTTGTATGTCTATCACTAGCAGCTACACACAAGACACAACGTAGCAGCATGGAGGAGATAGCGTCTGGTGGGATCCCCCTCTCTTATTACATTGCTAATTTAAGTGGTTCTGGTACTCGTGTGTAACACTATGATCAGGTTGATCCTGTGTCACAATCTCAAATAAGCAATGTACCAAAAGGAGCTGTGTAAAACTATTTTATTTTGGTCATCTTACAAACTATATATTTTGATTTTTCGACTTAACTTCGCATGTTCGTTTAATAATAAAACTGTGTTCTAGATACAGTAGAATCTGCATTATGCAGCCATTTAATAAAATCTCGTTGCTTTTTGTGCTGACATAATTAAATATTACGCTTGGATGCATTGGAAGCGGTAAATTTGGCCGTCGCTGAATCTTGCGCCGAACGAAAATTCTTTACTCAAATCTCGGACATAACTTAACGGGAGTGGCCTCTTAATAAAATCTTGCTGCTTTTTGTGCTGACAAATTAAATATTACGCTTGAATGCATTGGAAGCGGTAAATTTGACCTTTACTGAATCTTGCACCGAACGAAAATTCTTTACTCAAATCTTGGACATAACTTCTGTAAACTTGTCATTTTGTACCAACCTTCGATACTACTGTCTACCATTGTGATGCATTCGATAATATTTATCCATTTTTGTGAAGAAAATCGATGAATTAATTTTATTTTATCAAAAAAGCACATGAACAAAAAACATCGCTAATTTTATCACCTATTTACAGGGGGTGTAACTCTGTATGTAATATTATAGGAGGCGCTAAGAGAGATACTAGATGATCGTGACAAAACTCGGTACTTTTATTTTATTCAATCAATATCAAATAATGTGTGAAAACAATGATCAGGTTAGTCGTTTAATAAAACAAAAGATTAATTAACAGATAATCCCGGGTTGATTGTTATTTTTACATTTCTTTTTACCTGATCAGTGGGGGTCCAGTTAATTAACTACTACTCACGGGATTAGCGGGGGTGTTACAAAGAACGACAAGATGGTATCATTCAACAATGGCCGTTGAATGGGCGATGTTTTGTTGAATTTATTAGTAAAATAGTGACTGCTGGCCGCGTTAGAGGAGTGACCGTTGAATAAAGAGATGAAACAACAGAATTTCTACGGGGGGAATTTATCGTGACCGCTCACAAGGAGATGTCGCTGAATAGGAGTGGCTGCTCATAGAGATTCTACTGTACATGGTTATATAACAGTAACGCTAGATGGTACATGCTTTTAATTTAAAGGTCATGCATATTTGAATGCTTATGTCGAAACATCAGCAGCCTACATTGTTGGGACTAGAATCATAGAATAGAATTCAGGTTGTGTGCTGATAGTATTTAGCAGGCCTTGAGAATAGAGCGATGGTTTCTGATAAATATTTTTTTCTATATGTCTGGTTTTCTTTTTACCTTCATCAGGCCTCGAAATGTTTAAAAAAAACCCTACCTGTCGCTTCAGTAAATAACCTGTCACTCTCAATTATCAAACTCAAAGACTAATCACATCACACATATCCATACATGTAAGTACACACACACATGGATAGGTCTTTGACGTACATTGCTCTATATAAATATCGTAATATGAAACCTTTTTATTTCTTCGACATTGGAATGCCTAAAAGTTCTTGAAAGTCGGCGAATCTGCTTTGGCTCAGCGACTCGAAGATTTGTACAATTCTATCATCCGTATCCACGTGAATTCCGCAAAGTATCATTGTACCACACTTCCGTACTAAATCGAATACTTCAGCGTTGAGTTGTAGAATTCAGATTTTAAAATATCCGTAATAAATTGAATATCAAAACACAAATCATACCTGTGCATGGCATCGTATTTACATGTACCGCGTGCGAAGGACAGATAACGCCACCTGGAATTCCCTTCTCACATATCCGGACTATATTTACGCTACTAAATCGAATACTTCAGCGTTGAGTTGTAGAATTCAGATTTTAAAATATCCGTAATAAATTGAATATCAAAACACAAATCACACCTGTGCATGGCACCGTATTTACATGTACCGCGTGCGAAGGACAGATAACGCCACCTGGAATTCCCTTCTCACATATCCGGACTATATTTACGCTATAAATTATATTTATTTATGAAATATTTTTCCGACCTGATTTTTTGGTTTCGTCAAATTGTCTTATAAATTATTCATAGCCTTTATTTATGGAAATTGTTTAAACTTTTTAAATGATTAAATACACCAAGCAACGAACCATGTGCATTTCCATTCCAACCACTACTATATTTACTATGGTGTCGTTTTGGTAGAATTATTTCAGGTGACTTGGGGGTGCGTTTTAATTTATTTAGATATAATACTCCGTAATGCTATAAACTAGTGTCAAGCAGATGAAAACAAGCGTAGATGGTGTGAAATTCATTGATATAAAATTGTCTACTTCCAAACTGTGTGAGTAACTGTAGCCTACAACAGAGCGAGATGTAAACAGTGCAAATGGCGGCTTTTCGCGGTATTTCCGTGCTTAATTCTTGCATTTAGAAACAAATAATTAAATGTACGTGACGAGGACGTGAGTATTGTGTTCAATTGACTGAACATCAAATAAAATTTAGTTCAAGCGACAGGTAGACAGGCGAAAATTTCGAGCCATGCCTTCATCCATAGATAGACGTTTGGTGTGATTTCCACAGGAAAAAAAAATATATATGTTGATTTATACCCCGAAAAAGCTTCAGATAGGGTAAAAGGTCGCAAGTCTCTCGCCATGAATTCACCAGTTTTACTCACCGAGATATATCTGTAACCCTTTAGAACTTGGCACATGTAAATATTGACTACCTTAGTTCCTTGAAAGAAAATTAGAGAAAAGTGATGTATAAATACCTGGACACACCGGAACCGTCCAAAACTGTGGTTCCTTAGATCACCTCAAACTGTGTCTAAGTAGCCCAAGTTTAAGTGGTTTGAATCAGTTTTAAGTGCTAAAGGGTTAATTTATTGATCTATTTTTCAGGATCTGGGTGAAGATGATGAAGGCGGTGATGAAGATGAAGGATAAATAATGAATAAATTATCATCCATTAATCATAACTATCAACCAATCACCTTTCATTTCATTTTAACTAGGATACGCCCACTTATTTCATACATGCCTCAGTATCATGACTTTAACAGTAGCAAGGAAGAATAGACATTCCCACATCTTGAATGTTTATATCCTCAAAATAAAATAAAGTACAGACCTATATGTACAGGGTTAAACAAAAGAACCAACTACATGTATTTAAAGATTCTGCATAGCAGAGTAAGGCAAGTCTGACAGTCTAGATCAAAGAAACAGCTATTATTGAGTGCTTATGGATGGCCCAACGATGGATAATGATAACCTTATTTTAAGTTAATAGGTCTATGGATTAGAGAAATGCAAGTTTGGGGGACTTAACAATGTATTGACACTTGTACATGTTCTATTTATTTCAACATATTAATTGCACAATTGACTTGGATTTTTTATGTTTGAAATAAGAATGAAAGATCTTTATTTTAAGACATTGAAAACCTTTATTGGTATTATAATATTACTGTTACTGATTTCTTTTTGTGCTCATAGCATTATATAAATTGTTTTAAGTAATACCAAACTACGCAAGTGAACCGTTAATAAATTATAATTAATGCTGTTTTTGAACAAAATGTGCGCTATACTGTTGTCAAATGTTAATGATCTACACAAACGGATTGTGACAAATATATAAATATTTCAGAGATTACTTAAATATTTAGAGAACATTGGTTCAATTTTGTCAGTAGGACGATAAACCCCATTTCACTTTCTTCAATCCTGTAAATTTTTATCCAATCAAACACTTTCATTTAGTTTGTATATGTGTTGTGTTTTTTGTAAGAATCTGTTGAAAATCAGGGTGTATGAAATAAAGCAGATCTCAGTTCCTGATAACCATTGCAACACTGGATTGTTTTAAAAGTCATAACTTATATTAGAAATAAAAAGGTGATGTCATTTGTTTTTATTAAAAAGTAATATCTTTTCTGTAGATTGTAATTTGTACAGGGATAAAAATTTATTTATAGTATGCTCAACTGATTTCATCCATAGGGTTGACAATTCTCGAGGAGCCACATTGGTCCATTGCGAGATATATATTATCTTGATGGTTATATCTCACAAAGTATGAATCAAGAAAGTTTTATAATGATGGATGCACAGATCTTTTCTTATATATATTGGGATAAAATTCAAGTGTTTTGATAATTTTAAACACCCACATTGATTATATATTGTCTTCGCCCATGTCCATCCGTCATCCACAATTGCTTGTGGAAACTCTTTATGTTATCACCCCTTGATGTGAAATTCATGCGGTGTTTATGGTTACCAGAAGAAACCTGATCATTTTCAAATAGCTAAATTTATTATTGATTACTGGTACATAAGCTAAACAATTACTGTTACTCTTATCAATGGTTGTGGCTTAGTCGTGGGGTTATTCATTCCTATAATGATAATTACCTCATAGGTTGTTACTCTTAATCAGTTTATAGTGTCGTGTAAAGGCTACCATTAATTACATCAGAATAAATATGCAACAACTTTTATGGAAGACTTGGCGACTGTGGACATGTTTCATTGCCTGGCAGGCTGTCTCTGAGATGCTGTAAGCGATCTATCAAAAATGAAACTGAACCTTAAATTAAAATTGTTCAGAACCAAGGAGTGAGATCAAGATGAGAATTCTATATTTATTGTGGGCGTAAAATTTGTACCAAAAACTATGAGGCAGGATTCATTAAAGTGTCATTTTGTTACAAATCATAAAAAAAAAATGCAATAAAAAAAATTGTGTAATATGTAAAGATTTTGTCTGTTAAATGGTTACAACTTGGTTAATAATAAGCCTTTTACGATGTCCTAGGCTACACTGTCTTGATAGCTGCAGTTTATTGGATGTTGGTCTGTACAAAATAGCAGAAACATTTTTATGAAAATGTCTACAGGTCACAACTTTTATTCGCCCACACACCCCCACATTTACGCCCTTGTGTAAACACATTGAAGTAAAAATTATCTGTAGGCCTACAAAGTAGTCTAAAACTAAATGTTCTATGTTAAGTGAGAAACCTTTTAAGTACTCAATAGAATTACGGTTTCTATGTTCCATTTACCACAAAAACAGAGAAAAAACAAAACTAAGAAAAATATAAACCGTCTCGAAAGATAGCAGTGTGCACAAAGCCGTATATAGGGCATATTCCTGAAGCAATGGTCCTCTGGCCATTGCTGTATGGGCTTCTGAGTGTCTATTCTTCCCGTTCAATCAAATTTATCCCAAGTACAGCAACATGACGGCCCTTCTTTTAAAGATACATTATGGGAGACTCGATAACGAGTTGGCATTTCTCACTATAATATACTGAGCGCCATGGAAAACGCATCACTTTTTTTCCCCCCAAATGTTTTATTACTAGGTGGTTTTGTATGTATAATATTATACAATACTATGAACTATTGTTTCACACAATGCTCCCAAACTCAAAAAATATCGGCCCGTGTGCAAAAAAAAAAAAAAGCACGAGATGCACATGAAAAACACAATATTCACGTGCAGCATTGTGTGTGAGCCCTTTAAAAGCATGATTTCAACTTAATCGGCAGTACATGAACTGTGAAACGTCAATCTGTCGTAATTTGTTGTTGGACGTGTGAAGGAATCGAGCTAGAGACAGAATGAAGCCATGGGAATGTCCAGAGCCGGCATGGCTACACTTGCTATTGCCAGACACTTCAATTGTCATCAGTCCACTAATGTAAGGTTGGTGGAACATGTTCGAGTTACTGGATCGACACGTGACCGTCAACGTCCTGGTCCACAACGCGTTACAACCCAGACTCAAGACCGCTACATCCGGGTCACTCATCTGTGTGGCAGATTCCGCCCAGCGACTCAAACAGGTGCAGCACTCGTCGGAAGACGTCGTCTAAGAGAAGTAGGACTCCGTGCACGACGAACTTGTGTTGGAGCTGTCCTCAGGAATCATCACCGTCAGCAGCGTTTGGTATGGGCTCAAGGACACCAGACATGGAGAAGAGTAGACTGGCAAAGTGTGCTCTTCAGTGATGAGAGTCGCTTTCATCTTTATCACGCTGATGGCACCGATAGAACATGTCTGGGATGAGATTGGACGCCGCCTGTATCGGAGACCACAGATGCACACCATTGCTGCTTTAGAAGCCGCTCTTGTCCAAGAATGGAACAATTTGCCCCAGGCCTTCTTTCAAACATTGGTTAATTCCATGCGACGTCGCTGCACAGCGTGCGTAAGAGCCCGTAGAGGACACACGCGCTACTGACATCTGTGTTGTACTTTTGGTTTCGACCCCTCTTGACTTTGTACCGTTGATTACAGATTAAACATCCATAAGTGTACAAATGTGTTGTTATTGCTGTGTTCCCATTTGAATATTGTTCACAGAAGAAGCAAAATAAATAAGATATGTTTACAGGATCATTTTGTTATACGAAAAACTAAGTGATGCGTTTTCCATGGCGCTCCGTATAGTTAAAAACTAGATAATGTAAAGGTAATTTACTGAAAATTTCATTCAAATTGATCCACTATGAACCGAGAACTAGGCCGTTGAAATTTCCGGCTAGCCTTGATCATCATTACAAAAGTCAGTACAATAAACAGCAAAGTCTCGATTATCCATTTAATCGTGAAGGAAATTTGTGCAGTAAATCGGCTCATAATCCAGTAAAGATCGCAGGCTAGCGATGCCATTTAGAGTTGATTATGGCCTGGATAGGTTTATTTATTTCTAATTAATAATTTATATAACATTTCAGGCCTAAAGAAAGGCCTGCAATAGACATATTTAGCTCTTGCATAATATGTTTAATCTGGGATCTTCCCTAAAACTTTGGACAGTAATTTAAGGTATTAAAGTAGCTAATTAAAGTCTCTTAAGTCAATATCATCCAAAATCTTCAACATTGAAAACACGATTTATTTGTCAAATTAAATCAACATTCATGTTGTGATCTTACCGGAAAAAGATGAGCTTTTGATATCCAATATTTAAGACAAAATAAACATTTTACCATTGGTACACGAATCGTGTACCATAATGCGCTTCAGCCCCAGTTGTATCAAGAGACTCGAGGGACGAGGCTAGACACATTGCACCAAATCAAACGGCGTATGTAGACTGGAATAACCAGACGCTAGAAATTTGCACTCGCTTGAAACTGCTGGCTTATTTCGCCGAACATAACTGATTAGAAATTGGAGTAAAAACGGAAACCATTGAATGTAAATCAGTTTATATACATTCATATTACAGTATTATATGCCTTGCGACTCCCTTTTGTCAATTTCTAAGTCCCAAATGTTAGCGATTTAGCACCTTTAATAGCGGTGAAAGTATCATTCGTCTCCAAACAGTATTGTTTACATTGTATCCGGTGTTGATAGCCTCGTTTGTCACACAATTAGTTTTTCTACATTATTCTGCTATGCACTGGTTAATTGGGAATAATAAAATCGTGAGTCGTCACGTAACATATTTGGTCCAATTTGGAGCTCTTTTTAAAGCGTAATGATATTGTTACGCAGTTAGCTATGTATTGTTTAATGGTCGAGAGCGAGATATTAAGTAATAGATTGTAACAACATGAGGGCCGTAGGCCCGAATGTTTTTACAATATATTACGCAATGTCGTAAGCTCGAGACCATTAAACATCTTAAAATACTGACACTCCGCACGAGCTTTTACGTCACACTAGTCCAATATCTCACTGGTATGAATAAAGTACTATTGGCAAGTTGCCCGTACGATTATTTGAAATAATGGTACGCCAACATCAAAGGGTGACGTCACATCTGTATTTTAATAGTTGTTAAAATACAGATGTGACGTCACCCTTTGATGTTGGCGTACCATTATTTCAAATAATCGTACGGGCAACTTGCCAATAGTACTTTATTCATACCAGTGAGATATTGGACTAGTGTGACGTAAAAGCTCGTGCGGAGTGTCAGTATTTTAAGATGTTTAATGGTCTCGAGCTTACGACATTGCGTAATATATTGTAAAAACATTCGGGCCTACGGCCCTCATGTTGTTACAATATATTACTTAATGTCTCGCTCTCGACCATTAAACAATACTTAATGGGACTATTGGCCAGTCATAATTTGGAACAGAAATTTGCAGTGTTAAGTGGGATTAGGTCTAATTAAACGAAACACTGCGAGGCAGGGCTCACACTGTCGGTCGCCAAAGTCGCAATTTGCGATAAAGATATGAAAGTGGCGATTAAAATTTGATTTTGGCGATAATTTTGCTGGTACTGGCGATTCTTTTTTAGAACTGGCGGAAATTCTAATCCGTATTTATCCTGGTTTAATCATTATTGAGTTCAATCACATGGCGGGATACATGGGCGTCTGGGGGGGGGGGGGGGCTGAATATATTTGGACCCCCCCAAATTTACATAGTAGGCCCTAACTCCTATTTATTTACAACAATTATTAGGATTAGTTAAGATTCTATCTGTATAAAACCTGTACATATCCCAATATGGTTTACATTGCTAAAATAAAACACAAAGAGAATCATCCTGGAAACATGAGTGTAGTGAAAAGTAACTGTGTTCCATAAAATTGTGTCTAGTTAGTCTGTCAGTAATATTTTGTTATTTTTTTTCTGCCACTTATCAGAGTGAATCGCATGTAGGTACCCCAAAACTTATATCGCCTAAACCAAATATTTATCGCCCGCTCAGCCAGCCACGTTGGCGGTGTCTGGGCCAATCAGCAAACGAGTTGTGTAGACAGCATGGCCACATGGTGTTTGTTTATATTTTTTAGGGGTTTTTAAAAAGGTTTAGGGGTTAGGCTTGCGGACCCCCCCCCCCCTCCAATATATATTTCACGGCTACGCCTGTCAAGTCACAATTTACTCCTAATGATTAATCCAAGCGGTGATTATTTGATGTTTCGTTTCGGTAAAAGAAAAAATGATAATACATGTAATCAAAATGGCCGAATGTTCCTTGCGAAGAGAATTAAATATTTTGATAGCTGAATTTGTTTAGAGTGGCTTCATAAACGTCATGTAAAAAATACAAGCATGCCTATCGGATAACAATATTTCAAATTATAATATCACCATAGATCGAAAACGTAAGAACGAGTTGAATAGTGACCATTCTTGAGCGAGAAAAACAGTTCGCCATTTGTATCATATTACCGTCGCCAAAATGCTCGAATAGTTAACGACGGGTACCGGTATATTGTAAGCATCTCTTCACAAATATAATTGAAATTTATACCATTCTACCAGGGATTCAAATGCTGATACCATTACGGTACGGTGTTCAAATAGACGAACGTCACCAAAAATAAAATCTGATCTTATTAAATCCAAACTTAGCTAATCTGTTATGTAAAGACAGATTTTTAAAGTTGTTGTATATTGTATTGTATATATCAGTAATTGTCTTATAATAAGCCTAACTTATTATATTCCAGTTGGCGGAAAAAAATATGAACATTTTTTTTTATATAAAAATTATCATCCATTTTGGCGGAAAAAAATCGAAAGCCAGTGTGAGCCCTGCTGCGAGGAGTATGCTGGCTGCGGAGGTACAGTGAACTTTTTAGGAGGTGGGGGGTACCGGAGTCCTCCCCAGTGATGGATCATGAGGTCGCCGGGCCCTGAGGCAGCGTAACTGCCGGAACCTAGTGACAAAATGACACCCCAGGGGTCTCCTCTTTTTTTGAAATTTCGACCTGATATGGTGGTCTTGTCGAGCGAGCTGGTGCTAAGTGAGAAACGGGGGCCCGACGG